ACCACCACCGCTCAACAGGGCTTCCTGCCCCCATGCCCTGCTCTCTTACCCCATTTCTTTTCCCTATGCACAACACACACAACACACACAACACACACAACACACACAACACACACAACACACACAACACACACAACACACACAACACATAGACAGACCTGAAACAACCCAAAACCAGCGCTGCCTCTAAACGACCTCTACTGATCTCGAACCTGAACAGATGGGAGAGCGAATGAATGACTCTGTCGACTCCCGTCTCTTCCTGGCCCCCCTGCCCTGCTCTCTTACCTCACTTTTTTGCCCTATGCACAACACACACAACACACAACACATAAGCATACCTGAAACAACCCCAAAACCAGCACTGGCATTGGGTCAAATACGTGTTCCCTCTCCCTCTCCACCTCATTGCTGCTTTCCTAAGCCTGACAAACCGATTGTCACACGCCACAGGCAAAGCTATGGCTGGCAACCTCCTTTTTTAACAAAACGGAGGGCCCCGTCCATTGTCGGGAAAATCAGTCTGATTCCTTGCACAAATTATACACTGACAATTCAGGACAATATAAAACAGCTTACATCAGACTCCGAACAGTACTCGTCGACAAAAAGTGGGTGTGGTAGAATCAAATACATTCAGAAATGTCATCGTGTGAATAAATTCCTGCTCAGTCTGGATGGCGCTGCTCCTCATTGTGGCTGACAGTCGTCGTCTTCTTGTTCTTCACCTGCTTATAGCATCATCCTTTCCCCCTGTTTCCTACTATTTCCTTTCATAGTAAGTTCATACAGTCTTGTCGCCAAAGACTGACCAACAGACCCAATGGTAGTTTACCAACCATTCGTCTCAGGTCGTCGTCTTCTTGTACTTTACCTGCTTATAACATCGTCCTTTTCCCCCTGTTTCCTACTATTTACCTTCATACAGTCTTGTCGCCAAAGACTGACCAACAGACGCAATGGTAGTTTATCAACTATTTGTCATAAACTGTAGGGGGATTATTTGATTTGCACCAACCTCATTGATGTGGGCTGCTGCTCAGGTGCAGAATACACATACCTGAAACATATTATCGTCTCAGGTCTTTGCTGAACTTTCATCTTGAATCTCCCAAGCAACTCGCTGCCAAAACAGGAATACAGGAGGTTAATGGCATATCCAAACTTCCTTCTCAGAAGGGGGAAGGCTCAGAAACCCACGCTTTAACACACGTATCTGTTTTATTTTTGGTCAAGGTCTGCGTGTGCTGAGTTTAGTGGTTGTTGGAGTCTTGGAGATGACTGTTTTGGCCAGCCCTGAAAATCCTGAAAATCTTGAAAACTGAAAAGACTCAAAAGAGCGAATTTGGCATGAAAACACACTTTTGCATTTGGGTTTAGGGTCCTTTTTATCCATTTATTTACTTTTTTTAAGTTTTTTTTTTTTTTTTTTTGCAGTTGGTTTATTTGGTGTCCACTCTATGGACTGGTGACAAGTCTCACTTAAAAGTTGTGGGACGTTTGTTACAATGACCCTAAAAAAAACCCTTCCCCGAAAATTTAGGGCTCAGTTAACCGCTTCTCTTTGCCAGGGGCAAAGCTATTCACTGACGAAGTACTTATGTCATACTCAGAGCAGTAGTTGTACCAAAACTAGTTGGAAAATACACAAAGCTACTTATGCCAAAACAGCCAAAACAGAACACCGGAGGTCAATTGCGAATTCAAACTTCCTTCTCAAAAGGAGGGCGGTGCAGAAGCCCACACTTTAACACACCTAACACTCAAAAGGAGGGCGGTGCAAAATTTGAGCAATTGCACGAACCACGTCATCAGTTGAATTTTCTCTGTCCATGAGACCGCGACGAGCATGTTGGATTCCGAAACCCGACAAACCGCTTAGCAACCCTCACATTTGAATTCACTTCTGAAGTTCTGAGTCTTCTGACGATGAGCCGTAACATACAATACATCCTTCCTGGCTGCGTCATTTCAGATAATGTTGTAGTGAATGCTACAGCATTCACCCGAACAGAACTCCCCGCAGTCATTATAGCTGTACCGGGACTGAAAATTGCACCAAATACGGCTATCGGGTGAAGACAAACCGCTTAGCAACCCTCACATTTGAATTCACTTCTGAAGTTCTGAGTCTTCTGACAATGAGCCGTAACATATAATACATCCTTCCTGGCTGCGTCATTTCAGATAATGTTGTAGTGAATGCTACAGCATTCACCCGAACAGAACTCCCCGCAGTCATTATAGTTGTACCGGGACTGAAAATTGCACCAAATACGGCTATCGGGTGAAGACGGTAGGTATGGCACACCCAAAACCTGAACAGATGGCCAAAAAAAAAAAGAATCGCGTACAGTACCAGAATCAAAGGATCTCTGCATGTCAGTGCGTGACCGTCGGCACCAAAGGAAAGGACAATCAAGACGAAAAAAAGGAAAAGAAATGCACCACAAGGATCACAGCTGTCTTTTGACAAAGCTTCAATGAGCCCATACTTCAAATCAGCATCTCATGCCACACCGAGTTACGCGATTGCAGCACACAAGAGATGCAAAATCAAACATAGATTTCATATAAGAAGTCGCATACTCCTGTCCTTCGGGACATCTGTCAAAATTGGAACGATACAGAGAAGATTAGCATGGCCCCTGCGCAAGGACAACACACGTTGTTACATACTCCTGAGATCCAAGTCTTATGGAAAATATGTTTATGTTTGTCGGCTGGGCGGCTATGGCCGCAAGCAAGCAACGACCAAAGGTAACTCTTGTTCTTGGCACTTAGACCCCTGTCGCCCTGTCTCTCTTACTCGACTATGGTGCAGTATCGCTACGGCAACCAGCGCCCGGCAACTGCAGCTACTCGCATTCCCTGTCCTACTTGTCACTTTGGTCACTCTACTGCGCAACAGCATTTCCGCCGTACACACAAATGGAGTGAATGATGATGGCAACTGTTGCTCTTCTTTTTATACGTGACAACTCAGCGTCCCAGCTCTTCAGACTTGCACACCCGGTGGATGCAGTAGCATGGTGGCTTGGGTCTCTCAGCCCTTGACATTCCTCGGACCATGGGCCGCTGACTTCCCTGAGACTGGATTAGGCTGGACTGGACTTATGTCCCCCCTACCAGACCCTATGCTACTGGACCGGACAGACTCTCGACCTATTCGCCCTACAGGACCCTAAGCTATCTGGGATTAGGCTGGACTGGACTTATGTCCCCTCTACCAGACCCTATGCTACTGGACCGGACAGACTCTCGGCCTATTCGCCCTACAGGACCCTAAGCTATCTGGGATTAGGCTGGACTGGACTTACCTCCCCCCTACCAGATCCTATGCTACTGGACCGGACAGACTGGACCAGGCTCGGCCTCTTCGCCCTACAGGACCCTAAGCTATCTGGGACTGGATTGTCTGAGTACCGGATCCTTCCGAAGACCTCTTGACAGTACAGCGCCAACTCGCTGAGGTTACTTGCACTCATGTCGGCCCGGTCTCAAGCTCCACCGCTAGAACATTTCTTCGTCATCAGCTTCTATTCCAATCCCTCTCAGCTTCTTATGCCCAGTCACTACCTTTGGGGCAATCTCTACGAACTGCTTTCTAGGGAACCTGCTATCATCTTCTGGTATTGAAACTGGCACTTCATACTGCCTCTGAGGTCGCCCTCTTCCACCCGTACTGAAGGTGTCATGCTCACAAATGCTACCAATGTCATTGACACCTCCATATCAGCTGGTATCATTTAAGCTTTGTGAGTGGAATTCACTGCTAGGGTGACGTGCGGGCACCACTTAGAAGAATGAAATATGCGATATGTCCTAAGTGACATGCGGTCACCACTTAGAAGAATGGGAACATGGATACATCCTAAAAGGTGAGATGGTACATTGTCAATATAAGATGGACCATCTTCAGACCCAGAGGAGGGGGGATCGAACTCTACTTCATTAACGTCAACTTTGTTGGGGGGATGGAACTCCTTCATTAACATCAACTTTGTGGGGGGGATGGAACTCGACTCCATTGACATCAACTTTGTTACAAGAAGTCATTGGTGTGGGAGAGGGCCCACCCTTTTACACGAATCGTCTCCGAATAACTTTCCCCGGGAACCCACGTAGCTCAGGCGGTAGAGCATTCCCTTGGTAAGGGAAAGGCCTCCGGTTCAAGTCCGCTCGATAGGCTCCGTCTTAAATTAAAACAGAGATGGCTAAAACCAAGCAAATAAAAAGAAAATTCAAAATTACTTTTGATTTCGGACTACAACACCCAGCCCCTCATGGTGTTTTATGATTAGTTTTGAAAATGAATGGGGAAGTGGATGTAAGGGAGAGGCCGACGAGGTGCCATGAGCTTTTGCCACTTCCATCTAGCATCTATCGTTGGCATCGGACTCTGTGGCCGGAGGCGCTGAAGAGGAGGAAGGGAGGCTGGAGAGGATGAAGGAGCACCTCTCGTTCTGTAAAGCTCAATACCGTTGGCCTACAACTCCATGGGGGATTGCTCAATATCGTCCATCGCACATACCTTAAACCGCCAGTCCATCCAAAGCTAAATTGACAAACCAAAAAATCCATTTTACCAAGCCTAACATATCTACAGTGCAGGAGTTTGGAAAAATGAAGGTTGTAGCCCTTACCCATTGAACCTCTTCCAGGCCTCAGCACTGTAGATTTTGGCCCGGTTCTCGCATACAAGTAAAATCACAGTGCCGGGACCATGGGACTGGTGGTTTAACTGAGGTTGAAGATGGCTAGCGGCAGAGGTGAGGGTGATCTTGGAAATTGTTGATTATGAACAAACGTCTACACAACCTTTGTGACAAGTGTGGACGCATACCATTTGCGACAAGTGTGGATGCATAGCATTTCAAATTTCAATATAGTGTTTTGCGCGATCTGTAAAGCGAAGACACTTACTAAAAAATGCCACTGGGGACAGTATTGCCTTCCGGATCCCTGGTTTGCTCAAAAAGGTTGTCGATAACCATTGACCTTGCAGTGACTGCCCTGATCAAGGTGTGGACTGCTGAAAACATCGGCCAGTTCACAGTTGCCACAACCTGCAAAAAATAAACAAAATATGCAACCATGGAAGAACAGAAATGGATACGCTGAGTGATCGGCACACAAAAACGAAAGACGAAAGGAAGACCTATTTAACCCCCATGCCATCCTGCTATTGATTATTAAGATCCCCCAAACCCAGGAGAGGCTCAAGTTGACCGGGGCCATGTACTGGTGGTTTAACACCCCCCCCCTCCCCCCCTCCCCTCTTGGCCGCCCCTGTCTTGCCGTATTGTTGATTGTCTGAGAATGTGGTCTCGAACAATGACAGATCTGGCCAACTCATGAAATCGAAGGTTATTACGTGCGGTAGCCGTGGATTGGGACAGTGGACCAGTGCAGGGAGACGAAAACATGGTTCTGCCTGATGAGAGAAAAGCCTTGTTGCAGGCTTTCCAGCCCGCGCCAGGTGTTAGGAGCCTGTGCACTGCTCCCTGTACAGAGCAGAGTAGGGAAGAAGGTCCGTGTCCCCTGCCGAGTGGTCCATATATGCACAAAAAAATATAAAGCTGGCCCCCGTATGAGGAGAAAGACAGCTTTCCTAAAAAAAAAGAAAAGAAAAAAAAAAGAAAAGCCTCTCAGTGGTCCTCAGAGGCTAACGACAGACAGAAGTCGATAAGGAAGCAGCACAGTCCGAGCCGGTCAACATGATGGACACAGAAGTACGTTGCCATTGGGGCAAAAGTTCCGCGGAACTGGGAAAATAGCGAACAAGAAGCCAGATCTGATTGAGGCAGGGAAGACGTCTATCACAAACAAGGTTACTAGGATACAACATCACAAAGATATAGGACAACCAACGAAATGATGGCATTATACCTAGGGAGATGATCAAACCCCCAACTCCATAGGAGCACAGTCGGTACACCAGAAACACGAACACAGCAAAACAACCTGACGAAGGAGAGGTACAAAGCATTCTAACACCCGTCGGCGCCGTCATTTATCTGACAGCTGTCCCAGATCAATTGAAGCAGGGAAGATGTCTATCACAAACAAGGATAAGGTTACAAGGATATAACATCACAAAGATATACGACAACCAACTAAGATGGAAAATATAGCATTATACATAGGGAGATGATCAAACCCCCAACTCCACAGGAGCACAGTCCGTACACCAGAAACACGAACACAGCGTTCTAACACCTGTCGGCACCGTCGCTTATCTGACAGCTGTCCCAGATTAAGCTCCGGCAGGTTTGTCTCGGAAGGGCTTGCCCATCTGGGCATGCTCATCTTCGCAGAGCCAGTCGGGCAACTTTTCCCACATTCCATGACAGAGATGCAGCACCCACGTCTGATGGAAAATCCATGGCTACTTTAACTTTGCTGGATCCTACCACGAGAATGTCCATTTTTTTGAAGCTAGAAAGCAAAGCACAGAGAAAAATATCTTTTGAGTGGGGGGTTTATGAGATTTTTGGGGGGAACGAGGATGGGGGGCAGCGGAAGGTTGGGCGGGAGTGCATGAGTGAGGTAAACGAGAGAGGGAGGGGGTGAGAGCGTGAACAAACACAGGGCAGAAGAGGGAGGGGGGAGAAGGTAACTGGGAAAAAGAGCGGGAAGGAGGAGGGAGGTTG